ATTTTCTTATCCTAATTATATATGTTATTAATCATATATAGTTATATTTAGTACTCATATTGATCTGTATTTTTCGTTCAAAAATATTGCCATGGAACAATTTGATTTTACAAAACCAACACCATTTTATGATATAATTCTTAATATCGAAGATAAAAAACTATATTGTAATCGTGCATTACTTGCTATATGGTCACCTGTATTTGAAACAATGTTTAAATCAAATTTTCGTGAACGTGATTCCATGGAAATAAATTTACCAGGAAAATCATTTGATGATATTAAAGAATTACTTGCTGTTATTTATCCACCTAATCGACCCATTGTTGCAACAAATATTCAACGTTTACTTGAATTAGCTGATGTAAAAGAACGAATTTGTTTTTTTCATATTTTACTAATTTTATTTTCTATTTTAGGAATACCAAATGATTGAATTAACAAAACGTTGTCAAGCTTATTTAATGCAACAACGTGGTACAGTTGATTCATTATTATTAGCACAAAAATATAATTTCGATGATGTTATTCGTCGTTGTGCTGATCATTTAAAACATAATCTTAATTTAAATCTTTTACCAAATTGTGGTAATGCTGATCCACGTTTAAATGAATTATCATTAAAAACAATCAATTTATTATTAGTTTCACGCGTTAAACATTTAGAAACTGTACTTGAATCATATAAACGTAAAGTAACAACAGCAAATGATAAATTTCGTAATATAAAAGATTTACCTGGTCATAATGATGAATGTGATCATTGTTCAAGACATGAAGCACATTCAATTGAATGTTACGATTGTATGAGAATGGTACGAGCTATTATTAAAAAATTAAGTGAAGAAGGTTTTGAAGAAACAGATTAATTTTATTAGCATATTTTTTTTCTTTTTCTAGTCATATAGTCATCTTTTCTTTTGTTTTTTTTATATAAACGAGCTTTTGCTCGTTGTTTGCTGTGTAAATGAATCTCTATTTTGCGGTGCTATATTTAATTGTTATTCAAGAATTTTTTTACAAATAAATCTTCTATACATATATATACTTCATTTTATTAATTTCCTTCGTCCGTGTTCAATAGGTTTCATGAGCTTGTTTGACTAGTTAATTGATAGAAAGATCATATTTATATAGATTCTAGATGACTAACGATACAACTATTGATCCACTTGATTTTGCTTCATCACTTGATGAACGTCTCGTTGAAAATGGTCAACAAGAAGGTCGTCAATATGGTTATCAACGTGGTTTTCGACAAGGTTTCAATCGTGGTCTTGATTATGCGATTGAAAATCATCGAGAAATTGCAATTATCGCTGCTTATTGTGAACATTTACAACAATCACTTAACTCAACAAATGATTCTAATCCTAGACAAAAACGTCTTTTAAATGGTATTCTTGAATCATGTCGTGAATTTCGAAGTCTTGTACCAAGTACACCACGATATGCTGAATTACTTGCATCTATACGAGCTCGACATCAACATTTAACTGGATCAAATAATCATACAACTGAAAAAACAACTTTAGCTTTTTAGTTAACATTTTATTGTATTCGATTTTTTGATTAATTATTCGGAATGAAAACTGAGGAATCAAGACAAATCTTTTGGTATCATTTATAATTCCAAAAAAGCAAAAAGAAGGATCCCTTGCACATTCTCAGCTATTCCTGCCGGGCGTAATCAATGTATGGTGATGTTGTATAACAATATCCATTCGAATTTTATTTTGTACTGAACTCATTTAATACACTAAAAACTTCTAATGAATAGTTATTATATTTAAAAAAATATGAAATCATACTTACATGTGTTGATTGAAATCAAGAATAGAATCATCCCGACAATATCATCAGGAGTACGAATTGAGAATTGAGTGGGATGGCATTCAGACAAAATAATAGTTTATGGTTGCGCTTGTAATTATTGAGCCTTTTGTAAAGTTCGACGCTGGTCGTTCTTTTTGTTTCATGGTTAAAATAATCAGTATGAATATAATTCGGTTACGGTCTATTGCATACTTATATGATTTATTTATCGAAAGAAAATATTGATTGGTAGAAAAATATTCAAATTACAAAGAAAGTCAATATCTTCCTGTAATAACATTTTATCGATGTCACTAAAGGTGTTGTATTTATGCAAAACAATTCATCAATGCGAATTCAAAATATCCTTTTTTTTCAATCGAATACATTTGTAAAATACTTCTAATGCTCTTTTCGAACAATATTTCTACAAACTGTCATATAAATGAAGAAAAGTAAAGAAACCATCTATTAGCATTTAATACCTCTCGACACATTCATAAGAAAATAAGTTTATCAATGTGATTCATGTCAAACTTATCGATTTATTTGCTTTTAAAACTAAAGAATATATCTCATCTCACCTTCTGCTTCTTCTTCGTCTTTCTTTTCTAAGGAAGCATATTGTACTTATTCTCTCTATTTACCATTGTGATCAATGCTAGCACACATCTATTATCATCATTACACATACATTTATATGAATATGCATATATATGTCTCATTTTTAATTAGACGATATAAAGATGTTTGCCTATCAAAGATTGAAGTGTGTGTATGCGTCTTGAAAAGGAATAGTAGCAGTTCCTTTTTTCATCATTGAAAATGAGAATGTATGAATGATAAGATACATACTCTTTTTTGAAAGACAAATACACGCCCCATACTCTTTTTCTTTTTCTACCTTATTGTCTATGTATTCTAAGAACATTTTCTGAACAAACATAATGGGGCGAAAATGCAAATTGACACGAAAAAAATATCTTTACTATATAAGAGAGACAAGAGAAAATGATGATTATTTAGTATTCTCAGTTTCAATAGTTAACTATCAAACAGCATCATTAAAATGGATTGGAGACAATATGCTACGTCTTTCTGGGTAATATATTCTTTTTCTAGGATTATTTTCTAACGAATATGAAATATAGGAAAAGGTTATATACTTTTTATGATTCATCTATAAATAAATATTGAATTGCATATAACTACATTAGCAAAATTATCGGTAGTTAATTATCATTCTTATATTTCTGGCCTACAGCCAAATATCGATTTGAAATGATTTTATTATTTCGAAAGTTCAATCTGTTGAGTTTCTATAGGATATCATTCTGTAAATAGAACCTCCTACTACCGGTTTCTTTGATATTGATCAAAGGAAAACAATTATACATTGTATTTTTCTTTCTTTTAAACAGAATGATTATCAATTTGTTGTTAACATGCAGTTAGCTATGTATCAAATGCTAACAAATCTTGCAACAAATCCGAGTACTCCACCATCATCGATTCCAGCATTACGATTTCGTCCTGCTCCTGATTATCAAGCACCGATAATAAATCATCAAAAATCACTTAAACGTCTTGGTCCTAAACGACCACGATTGGTAAAAACGAATCTAACTAGTGAGTAATCTATATCATTGATAATAATTTTATGAGAACCATCCATATGGATTACACTTTTTTTTGTCAAAAGAAAAAGAAAGGAGACAAATAAATATCCGTGATCTATTTGACAGCATATTCACCGTCAATGATATTAATGGTAACCGTCGTTTAAAGAAAGAAGAAGAAGAAGAATAGAAAAAAATATGAGTCGTCTGTTCAGTTCATGTATATTTGCTCTTTCTATGTATATTGAACGATGGGAAAATTTCTCCTGACGCGTCGACAATGTTGACGAAATGATTAAAAGAGAGAAAGAAAGAAAAAAATGATGTTCATTATATGCTCAACTTAGTTTTAAATAGGTAGCGGAACAGCATCAACTAGTACACTTAATATGCCAACATCATCATCTTCACCTGATGGTTACAACGCTAATTATAATGACGAAAGGTAAAATCGAATAAAAACAAATAAAATAATTTGAAATTTTCGTTTTTTTTGCAGTTATGAAGAACTTGACCATCGACCACTCACACGAGAAATTATGTCTGCTTATTTATTAACACGTCGTCATCGTACAGTAACAATTCATCATGCTAAAGTTGCACAAAAATCATATGGAAATGAAAAGCGGTAAGAATTCAAATGAAATAACTATCAAAAATAATATATTATTGTTTTATTTAAGATTTTTTTTGTCCACCACCATGTGTATATTTATCTGGTGATGGATGGAAAAATGATTTTGAACAAGATAATTTATGTACTATGATTGGTATTGGTGAACCATTGTATCATAATGATAATGGTTCACCATCAGCTAATATAACACAATCAAGTGAGATGCAACATTTACCATTTGAAAGTGGAAAAGTAAATACGATTAAATCTTTATATTTCATTCATAACGTCTTTTGCTTATTTTTCAGCGTTTTGGTGCAGCAAAAACTTTATTTATTTCTGATTCTGATAAACGTAAACATATAAATTTAAATATAAAAATGATGTATACAAATGATTTTCGTGATAATCCATATATTGGAATGTTTGAAAGTCGAAAAATAAAAGTTATATCAAAACCATCAAAGAAAAAACAATCCGTTAAAAATGCTGAATGTAATTTATTATTTTCATATTTTTATGATATTTAATTACCTTTTTGTTTATTTAATAGCAGTATGTATTCAATCAGGTAGCAAAATAGCCTTATTTAATCGTCTTCGGTATGATAAAAGAAGAAAATAATTAAGTTGTTATTTGAATGTTATTATTTGTTTTATTTCTTAGAAGTCAAAATGTTAGCACAAGATTTTTACATGTCAATGAAGGAAAAAATGACTTTGAAGCAAGTTCAAGTGAATGGGGATCATTTTGTATACATTTAGTTGACAATGAAGAACCATGTACAGAATCAAATAGTTTTTCAGTGAAAGAAGGTTTTGTTCAATATGGTTCAACAGTAAAACTTGTTTGTTCAGTTACTAATCAAACATTACCTCAGTTGGTAAGTTATTTAGTCTCTTTTGATCATCGGGAAATTTATTGTAAACAATATTTTCTTTTGTAGGTTATTCGAAAAGTCGATAAAAATCGTGTATTACTCGATTCTGATGAGCCTGTATCTCAATTACATAAATGTGCATTTGAATTCAAAAGTGGACCAGCATCGCCATCAAGTTTAGTTTATTTATGTTTAACAGGTGAGCGTATAATTGGTATTGCGGTAAGCATAATTTATAAAAACAAAAATTTATAATTATTTACTATCGTTTCTTTATAGGGTAAACCATGTCCAAATGAACGTTTTCGTGTTGATATTAATGATTCAGCATGTTGGACAATAATATCAACTGATAAAGCTGAATATACATGGTTTGAAGGTAGAGGTCCAGTAACACATCCAATTACTCCTGTTCCTGTTGCTAGACATATTGTTGTATGTATTTTTTTAAATCTTAAATTTGTTCTATATGTTTTTTCTTTTTCTATTATCTATGATAGGTTGATGGTGGTGGTGCAGCTGCAACAATTGAATTAACTGGAGAAAATTTTGCACCAGGTTTATCAGTATGGTTTGGAGAAACAGAATCACCATGTACAGATTATCGGTAAGATTATTTTCTTGTTAAAGCTTACTTTGAATATCTTTTACTAATAGATCTACACAAACAATCGTTGCTGAGGTTCCTCAATTTTCATCAGTAATGCCAAATATGCCATGGGTTCAACGTCCTATTTCTACTCCTATTTCACTTGTACGTCGTGATGGAATTGTTTATTTAACTTCATTAGTTTTTACATATACACCACAACCAGCACCTCCTCGAAAAGCATCTTCATCACCAGAAACAATTCTTCCTGCTACATCTGAGAATAATTTTTGTGAATAAATATCTTTCTGTTTTTTTTCTCTCGTTTTATTCTACATTCTCGTTTTTTTGTATACAAATGAAATTTAATTATAAAGAAGATGGAGGAGAAGAAGATGATTTTGGTTGTTGTGAGAGCATTTTAAATGTTGCACGTCCACTTTTACCAGTATAGGACAGAAATGACACACCAGTTGAAAGAGCAGATAATACATAGATAGCTGACATCCAACCAGTATTATGATAATCAAAAATTGGTGCTGCCATACATAAAGTTAATAATCCAATTTGTACACCTGTATTAACCTAAAATGATATAATTAATTATATGAGAATATTTCAATAATTTTACATACTTTACTAATAAATGTTGGATAAAGTTGAACAGTTGCATTTTTCATATTGAAAATTTTCTTTAATGTACGTGGTGGTGGTACAGATTTAATTCGAAGATAAGCTGCAACAATCATAATAACAATATCACGACCAATTATCAATGCAAGAAGCCATAATGGTATAAGATTAACATAGGCAAGTGTTATAACAACAATGCCAACAAGCATTTTATCAGCAAATGGATCAAGAAATGAACCTAATGCAGATGCTTGTGAAGGATATCGTCGTGCAATCCAACCATCAATTAAATCTGTGAAACCTGATATTATAAAAAGTGTTAATGCAGCTGGATATTGATGACTGACAATTAAATAACCAAGAATGGGTGCTGAACCAATACGAGCAAATGTTAAAATATTTGGTATAGTCCATACACGATCTGTTTTCTGTTGATCAGGTGTAGTTGATGTATATCGAAGAAGATATTTCGATGAAGATAATTGAATAGGAACTAATTGTTTTTTACAAATAACTGAGCGAAAAATACTAGATCTACATTGTAGAATGATTGAAGATGGTGAACGATTTAATAACAATCGTCCGAGTATTAACATCTGAAAAAGAAAAGAAAAGAAATTTTATTTGCGTAACATTCCAATTTGTAATTTCGATGTTTTCTCTACACGTCGAATAGTTAGAGAAATTCGTGTTTTACGTGTTAAGATTTGTTCGTCTCTATTTTTAATTTCATCACTACATCGATCAAAATTACTGATTATCGTACGATTAATTTTATCGTCTTGATATTCATTAATACCATGCATATAATATGAGTACATATCATCTTTAACAATAAACAAACTACGTGGTTCAAGTAGAACTCGAGCAACACAACGATCAGATATTGACGATAGATCCTAAATATAGAAGAAGAATTATTTGATTAAAAAACAATTCATTTGAGATTAACTGTAATTATGAGATGATATCATCATTTGTTGAGAATAAAGAAATTTTCACATATTAGTCGATCAATACTGAATATGACTGTTATAAAATCATCAGACTTTCTTTTATCTCAATAGTAAAAATGAACTACTAATATAATAAAAGTGTTTGTATTATTCAATATAGTAATTCATCTTTCATTCGTCTTGTGACTTAAATTTTTGTTATTTTATTTAAATTCTGAACTATTTATATATGATGATGATATTATTCTTCAACATTTTCCGAAACGATTTGATCATTATAGAGTTTACTTGCGAAACTATTACTCTATTATTTCTTATCTCACCTCTGTAGTATTACTATCAATCGGTCGATAAAATTCAATAACAGTATGTGATTGTAATGAAATAGTTGTTACAATCGGATAATAAACAGGTCCATCAGTATGTGGCATAATACCTTGACCTGCTTCATATTCATTAACTAAACAATGATTAAATTGAAATTGTTGATCAGGAAATATAGTTTCATTTCCCAATTGAAGAATTCGTTCAGTATACGGTTCTAACCATTTCGGTAATGATTCTGTTTGAATCATTCCTTTGCTATGTGGTTGTCCACCCCAATTTTGTAAACGACGATTACGTAATTGAACCCAACGTGTACGAGGAACATTATTAACACATGATAATAATTGTTCTTCTTCTTCAATTGTTATAAAATTTGGTATATAATAAAGAGAATCAGGTAGATTTGATAATTTATAAATCTCCATGAAAATTATAAACTAGAAAAATCACAATTATTAAAAACTCGTTTTCTATGCATAAAACAAATGAAAATAAATCTATTCATCTTGAATACATTTATAATAAATGACGCACTGTAACGGATTTTGCGTAACAAATAACAACAAAAAAAAAACAAAAACAAAATTAGTCATTTTGATTCTCATGTACATGTAGATGGTAAGAATAGGTCATTGGTCGTTGATTGTATAACTAAAAAAAGAAAATAAATTATCATACAGATCGGTAGCTTTAAGCTAAGGTTGCCAGAATCAATTGACATACTTAATGATTTTTGTCGTCGTAGAAATACTCTTCGTTGTTTTTCGATTTTTGTTAAAGCATGTTTTAAATTAAGAAATACTTTCTGACATTGCCGCATACGATCTTTCAAATGAACTAAACGATCATCACCTGTTTTATCAGTATCTAAATAAAGACAAAAAAAATATCAAACGAAATATTTTAAATGAAAAAACAAATTTACCAAGATCAAGAAAATTATAACGGCTAGTTCGATTTTTAAACATATCTTCTAATTGTTGATTTAATGTTATATTTATTAATGAATTCGAACGAATATCTTCATTTTCATTATCTAAAATGAAGAATAAATATAAAAAAAAAGAAAAACAATCTTTTTTAAAACCTACCTGGTTGAATAACTGTTCTTTTGCCACCTCGTTTTCCTACTGTTCGATATCGTTTTACTTGAAAATGAAAAGAAATCAAAAATCTATTCTGTAAACATATAATTCAACGTACTTTCAGGTGATTGTTGTTCATTCGGAGTTGAACTTTGATCATTATTATTTGAAATATTATCAATCGTAGAATTACTATTAATATCTGTATCTAATCTCATTCTTTTCTTTATCAATAAAGATGAATCTTTTGATTCTCGAAATGTACGTCGTTTTAATTGACGTACAGAAGCACGACGATTATCAATAGGAGAATTAGATCGTAGTGAAAGTTCTGATGGACTAAAAATGGATTGTTGATTATTCGGAGAATTATCAATGATTTCTTCATTGATATATAATGGAGGTAAAAAGCTAAACGAATAAAATTAGAATAAATAATATAATAAAAAATAAAATTTACTTATTAGATGTAGATGGAATATCATTATTATGAGTACTTTCGGTTAAATCGATTTTTATAATTGATGGATGTTTTTGAATAATTATTCGTGGAATACGATTTGATTCGTTGTCATCAATAGATTCGGAATCATTTCCAATATTTATTGATATTATATTTTCATTACTACTTGTTGCGGAAGATGTTCGTTGAAGTTCGATTATTTCTTCGCTATTTAATAATATAGATATAATATTATTTAGAAGAAAATAAAGTTTATTGAAATTTGAATCTATAGTCATGTCACTGGCAGATAGTGACTTATGACTGAGCTTGTGCGTGAGTGGGTGTGAGTGTAACTGTGGGCGTGGATGTGGGTGTCATTGTTAGTCCACACCCACGCCCACACCCACACCTACACGCACATCCTCAAGCTAGCTGAAGACTTATCTATCTTTCTAAATTAATATGTGACATAACTTCAAAGAAAGAACATCATATCCGAGAATGTGCAAGTTTCTTTCTTGTATATTATTGCGAGGTAAAACTTACTGAAAGACTTGATTGTTCAAATCATTCATTTGAATAGTTGGTGTATATGAAACACCATCACTTTTAATCGGAGAAACCATCTCCAAACTTTTCCATACTACAAAACAAAAAAATATATTAATTTATATTCAATTGAAATCTTAATCTATTACTTCCGTTATCCTGTTCAGTCGAAATAATATTATTTTCTTCTATTTTCTGATTGTTTTCTTCATTTAATATTTCTTCTGTATTTGAATCTAATTCATTTTGACGTTTAATAATTCGTTCAAATTCTATCCATTCATCATCTCTAGAATAAAAAACATCATTTAGATAATTAATTATAATAATAACTAATAAATTCTTACATTGAATCGAGTTCTTTATACTGAACACGTAATTCTTTTTTACTATCATTTTTTTCAATACATCTTACATAATACTGTTTCTTTCGATTAAAATCACGTTTTATAACTAATGTATCATTTATAGATATGTCTTCATATGTTAATTGAGCATTACCATTATTTATAGATGTATTAGGTGTAATCACTTGTTTACTATTATTATAAAAAAAAGAATTTAATATTACAATATTGAGAATAAGAAGAATTTTACCTGTTCGTTTCATAACTGTCTAAAGATGGTATGGAATGTCTTGAACGCTTCGATGATGACAACTGTTCGTTTTTTTTAATATTTCCACAAGAATAGGATCGTTTATTTGAATTTAATGGAAGATTTTCAATCGTATTCGTTTGTTGAGATGTAGTTGATAATAAAGGAATTAGTGTTTGAGATGTAGAAGATGTTTCAAGAACTTGGATTTTTAAAGAATGAATAAAAAATATCATTTAAAAAAGATTCTTTTACCAGATGTATTATCATCACTATTGTTCGAGTGTCGAATATTCGTAGAAATGGAAGATAATGTTGGTGATTCGTCAGTGATAGAAGGTGGTGGTGATGGTGATACAGGTGTTACTGCTAGTGATGTTAAACGATGTAATACAGGCTGTTCGGTTGATTCACACGACGGTATATGTGCTTTTGATTGTTCTTCATCAGAAGTATCTACAGAAAACAATATATTCGATAATACGAAAGACATATTTTTCATATTCTAAATAGAGTTTCCATTATGAGTAATGTCAAATAAGACTTAGAAATTAGCAACAAGGAGGAAACAGCAGACTTCAACGGATTTCACAGATTTCAAAAGACTTCATAGACTTCATAAACTTCAAGAGATTTAAAAGACTTCCAAGGCTTCATGAGAATTCAGGCATGAAGTCTTTGTTGTTTTCCCCTTGTTCAGTAAAATCAATGAGCATGTTTAAAACATTAGAAATCAAGAATCATCTATTTATATGCGAAAACTAACTCTAGAATAAATACCTTTATCTGATTGATTAATTATTGGGTTATGTTGAACTTTAGATGTTGCTTTCGTATGAAATTGACGTGTTGCAAGTGTAGATTCTTTTCTGAAAAAGAATGAATTAATAAATAGGAATTATTCTATATGACTTACAAAATTTCATAAGATATTTTCGGAATTTTTATAATTGGTTTCATATCATTTTCTGTATGGCCTGTTGATTTTAATCTTTTAATTGATGATTCATGTTTTTGTTGTAAAGTTTTATTTTTAAATATTTTTTTCTTTTCATCAGGATTAACAGAAGATTTCTTTTTTGAATTAATTATTTGCTGTTTTTTTAAACGATTAGTATTTGATGATGACGATGATGATGAAATAGTTGTTTCATTATCCGATACTTCAGATTCAGATGTACTCAATGAATTAATGTTTGATGATCGAGTTTTATTAATTATTATAGCTTTTCGACCGTTTTTTGTAGATGATAACGTTGGTTTGGATTCAACTGATTGTGTTTTAGAAGACTAAAATTTAGGGAAGATACATTTTTATTTTTGTGTCAATAGAGTTCATTTTATGAATATACTTGTCGTTTATTAAATGGTAATACTTGTTTTGATTTATTTTTATCATCTGATTGTTGTCGTAGACGTACTAAACTTCGTCTTGAATCACTACTTAAACTATTACGACTACCAAAATATGCGCTTGGTACATTCATTGTACCTAATTTTTTTGATAAATCTTCAAATCCAGACAAATATCTAAGAAAAAATAGAAATCAATTAAATTATATTTGAGAAAAATTCGATTACTTTTTATAAGCATTTTCAATTAGTCGATTATTTTTTGGAGATGGTTCATCAGGTAAACCCATTTTCATATATACTTTACCCCATTGATCATTTTTTGTAACCTAAATATAATAAAAAATTCTTGATGATAATTAATTTGAAAAGAGAGAAACAGTTTTTCAAACCTTATTATAACCACCATATAAACGAACTATTTTAAATAAACGATGAAGATCAAGATCATAATTATGAATTTTTGCAATATTATTTATTGGCGTGCCTAAAAAAAAAGAAAGGATATGGGTGTTGTATTTCTCGAGTTCAAATTGTTTTTACTGAAAAATATTTTCAACTAATAATCACGTCCCTGTGGGGCTAAAAATGTCGAACTCACGAATGTTCGTACCAAAATCTAGAGAAAGTTCAACATACTGAATTTTTGACAACAGAGTACCTAAGGGTACTATTAGGCACTTTGGTACACTACAGATACTGTGACATACTAACAGCAAGGTACTTTTTCGGGTACCTTGAACTTAGTACATTCACATGGGAAGATATTTGGTGACCTTTTAGTCCTTGGTCTTTCGTTATTTCTGAAGAGAAACCTCTTCACAGGTGCTATAGAAGATTTGCTGTACAATAGCGTGTAAGAGCTTTTGACGGATATACCAACTATCAAACTCGAATTCAAAATTTACAGTCACGAGTTTTTCTGAAAGGTCGCGGGTGCGTAACATATAGATCTATCGCTCACACCTACATTCCTTTTAGTTTACAAGATCAAATAAACGATAAATGTTTCAATTATATGCCAGTTACTCAAAGAAAAATACGTCAATATAAAGTTATTTGTTATTGTTTTCACCTGTCTGGTTATATGGGTGACTAATATATTCGATATATTTTCAAACAGTTTGAATGCATATTCTGATTGTAAACAAGTTTTGTTGACTTACTTCTAACTAGATATTATCGAAGTTAAACTCAAACATCAGATAATGTAATCCCCGAATTCAAGATCAAACTCTCTAATTGAAAGAATAGTTCAAAATTACATGTAGGAGTGAAAAATTATTCTCAACGATATATCTATATTAAATTTCCCGGAAATTTTCTTCTAATAATAAGATAAAGAAAAATAACTCTATTTTTCTTACCGCTATCATCCATAAATGTATATAATTGTGCTACAAATGAATCTTTTTCTTCTGTTGTTTCTTCTTCGTTATTATCATCAAAATCTGTATCACTTGCATTCGAATCATTACCACTTGTATCACTCTCATTATTTCGTTCATTATATATTGATTTCTTTTTTTTCTTTTGCCATATAACAGGTATTTGATTTTTTTTAATAAATTTTTCACATGCTTTCGTTGCTTGTTCCGATGTTAAATTACACAATGATTGTATATCAGAATTATTTTTATACGAATGTACATCATCACGTTTATGAACAATATATTCTCTTCCATCAAGAAAACTTTTTACCCACATATAATCAGGTAATGATTTACGTTTAAGTATTAATGCTGGAAATGCATGTTGACTATTATTATTTCCACTACGTCGAATAGCAACAATTGATGTTGTATCATTACTATTCGTTGATAACGTTGATATTGGAATATCTTCAACAAATTTTTGTTGACCAATTTGTGTTTGATATAAACGAATACCTCGTAGACAAAGTAATGAACGTCTCAAAGATACTTCATCACCATCATCAAATACAACTGTATATATACTATTATCATATATTTTTTTAATTATTACTTGTTTTTCTTCGTAATTATTATTAGCATTCATTATGGCTGCTAAACCACTTCGTGAAAGATAAGAAGTTGTTTCATGTGGACGATTTGATATTGGTAAACGTATAGTTATTATATTACCAATACGTAATATAGCAGGTTGAATAACTTGTTCTTCCGAGATAGTTATTATATCATTAGTATTAAGTAATTGAACTTTTAATTTGACTTGTTTATCAACTGCTTTAACTTGAGCTTAAAAATAGAAATTAATTCGAGAACTATGAATTCTTTGACAAAAATTTACCTGAACAAAAACTTCCTCGATATTTCCCACTAACTAAACAACCAACTGGAAGAGAAGCTGATTCGATTGTAGTAGATGTATTTGTATTTGTTTCATCAGTCGATATAGATTGAGATAGTATCGATGAAGATCGTTTTTCTCTACCTCCGTGCATTTGAAGAAAACACAAAAAAGAAGAAATAATAACTTATCTGAAAACAAAAGAAAACTTTTTAATAGAAAAACAAAACACAATACATGTTTATTTTTTTATTTGTTAATTATGTTCATTCACTGTTAGTTTTTCTTTCATGCAATGGCATAATGATTGATCGCCTAAGAAAGAAAAAATATGTAAATTATATTTGACATTTATATTAATATTTTAACTTACTACAACATTCATCCTTCTTTTGCATCTCTTTACGATAACGTTCAGTTTTTCCAATACCTAATTTTGGTACACCTTTATTTAAACCTTCGATTAACAAACATGCTTTACATATTGGCATTGATGAACAATATGAACATCGTTCACATACACGTTGTACAGGCATTTTAGTAGATTGTTTAACAAGTAATTGTTCACCACTATGAATTATATCAATGATTGACGATGGTCGTAAGCGTTCTAAATCTTTTATATATGTTCTTATATTACCACGATATGCATTTGGAGAATAGAGACATTCAGTAGAAAAATAATCTAAGCGTTTATAAAATGCATAAAGAACGATTTCTTTTTCATATGCATATTTTAATGGTTTACATCGAGGAATAATGGAACCTTCACTGTCATCAGATTCATCACCGGTCATTATCAATGTACACCGTTTCAAACGTGCTATATCACCGCGAAGAATATTCATTAGTATTGTTTCAGCTATGTCATCAGCATTGTGACCTGTTGCAATTTTATTTACGGATAATTTCATTGCACCACGATCAAGAGCTTGACGACGAAAAACACCACAGAATGTGCCTGAAGGAAAAAAAGTAAAGAACAAATAAATAATGAAATTCATGAGAATAAGAAACTTAAAACTACAATTAATTACGATTTATTATCATATTAATTTTAATTATTCAAATATGATTTATTTTACATCGGCAAAAATTTTAAATACATTGGCACTTAATATTTTCTTGTTTTTTGTGTATTCTTTAAGGATGCATGTTTTTCAAAACAGACATTAAAAGATTAAGTATGACTAATCGTAATCATAAGCAGTTCTTTCATGCAGGGGCGGCGGAGCGTACAATGTTTTTTCCTACTATAAACTTTTATTAAAACATAAAGCAAAATACAAGTCTTCTTTTTATTAGGCCTCAATAAAAACTATAACGGTCATCGTGAAAATAAAACAAATCAGAACGTACTAAAAAATAACTTTCTCTGTTCGTTCTTCGATGCGAAAGTTGAACAGAGACTTTTCTTTGTATGTGTCAAAAAGAAAAATGGATGAATACTTGAACGTTTTTCAGCCATTAAATACACTGTGAAGAGTATATAAATCAATCCGGGCATTACTGAGCTACTTCCTTATTGCCGTAATAATATATATATGTGTATGTGTATATGCGTTTGGGACAAACCAAACGTTCTGGAAATAAAACATATATAGACGAAATGAGGAAGAAGTAAACATGTGGACAAGAAAACATGTAAGAAAGAAGGAAAAATACCTGAGTACCATATAGACAAGGGAAATATCCCAGTAAAAGAAAAGAAAAACATACATGATATATATAAACTGTATGTGATATCTATGCGATAAAAGAATAGAGAAAAGAAAGGCATATAAAAAATAGATGAACCGTATTAAAAGGTAGATATGTCAGCATATACATCTAGTTAGGTTAGATATTGAACATAACAAATCCTAATAATAAAAGAAAATATTTACTTACAGTTATTCTTACGACCAACTGCTTTAACAATTTCATCCTATAAAAATTTCAATATGTTTTCTTCTTAAAAACTTATTCATTCTCTTACCATACTCCATCCATATAATTCTTTATATGTAAGAATAATTAACGGCAATTCATATTGTTGTTGATTACGTTTTACTGTTTCAAGTGAATCATCTCGATAACCAGTTATACCTTCATCAATTGATAATAAAACAAGTTTAAGACCATAAGAATGTCTTTCATTTAATAATTTTAATACATGAGCAAGAACAGTAGAATCTAAGAATTACATAATTATCTATAGGAATTTATTACTTTTCTTCTTATACCTTTGCCACCACTTGCAGCAACAGCGATTGTTTCACCTGGCTTAAACAATTGTTCTTTTACTATTGTTTCATGTATTTCACGCTCGAACGCATCGAAAAAGCACTGCTTACAATATGGTTCACTTGTTTTAGGTCGGACTAACGCTGCTGGCCGTTGCCCATTACATGACACACAAGTTGCACTCGGCATTTAATCACCGTTAAATTTTGATCAATTGAAATAAAATGAAATAACATCATCATATACTAGCAAATCAAACAATGGTGAGTCATCCAAAGATCGAGTAGCCAACTGAGATTTACTTATAACAGATGGCACTTACTTACACCTAAAAAAAAATAGATATACATATATTTTATAAACTATATTGACAATCTGATATAAATTGATTCAGATGTATATCATTATGATATATAGATTAAATAAGAAAAAATAAACTTGAATTTCGATCGATTTATAGGTTTTATAGCAATGTGCATGTATCATTTTTTCGAGATAGGAAGTAAATTTCTACATCACATCAGTCAATATTTTAATCGAATATAAATGAAACTATTTTATGCAGTAAATCTTTTAAACTTATATAAATCTTACTATAGACTCGTATGACAAAAAGGAGTAGTATGTGAAAAAATACGATATATATGTTATAAATGAGATAAGTAGAGAATCTTGTAGAAGAATAGTAATCAGATATCGACACTGACCTTTTGTAATGTTTGAAATATTATAAAAGATAAAGAAAAAAATAATCATTATATTAAATAGCAGAAAATTCACGTATATTGTCATTTGAAACAGTAAATAAACGAAAGAAAATTGCAAAAGAATAATTTTTTTTATTATATTCATTATATTCATCACTTGATATTATTTCTCCCATAATTTTTTTTAATATATATATACTTTTCTATCATTTCTCTTTGAGTACAATAAATTGACAAATACACAAGAACAGAAGAAAAAAAAATAATAGTCAGAATTGCACGGAGACAATAAACACACTAAAAAACATGTTAAGATTTTAACCCAAAAATTCAATTTTTCTATTTTTACATATACATATATGAAAAGAATTTTTTTCTTTGTTCTTTAACAAACAAATAATAATTTAACGAAATTGAAATACACTTGATGTTTTTTGTGGTACATGTTCCAAAGTTAAACTTTGAAACCATTCGGATGAATTATGATAATAATAACCTTGTAATTTTCCCGTACTTAATTGTAAACATATATAATAAAAACCAGCAAATGATGCTCCTAAAATATTAATAAAGAAAGATATTTTTTTTCTTATAAAGAAATAATTTTTATATCAAAAACAAACCAGTAATATTTCTAACAGTATGATCAGGAACAAGAAAATGTTCTTTCCATCTCATAAAAACAAAATCAGAATTTTTCCCACGTAACAATTGATCATAATCAAATGAATCATTATTAAATGTATCAACATATGGTAAAAATGCATCAAATTTACTCCAATGTTGTCTATCAACATCTTCATCAGCTTCCCATTTTCGTGTTAAAAATGGATAACGTTTAGATATTATTTCTGCATCAAAAAAAGTTGATAATTTCGGATATTCATCAATTAAACCCGTTATTCCTAAATATCCACATATATATGAACGTTCTAAATCAACATGATGAAAAATAACATCGACATTATATGATTTTCCTTTGGATTTTTGATTGCCAGTAAACCGAGTTGATGTACATAAAATAGATGTATTTTTATTTGGTGGACCCAAATTTATATCGGAAAACTCCAACGGGCCTAATAATTTCATATTTATATGTGATTATAGATTATAGAACAAGGGACGGATAAGAGGCAATAACGAATAAAATGAATAGAACAGAACAGAACAAATAAACAAGAAAGTAGGTAAAAAAAGGACAGCAACCAATTAGATTTTAGAGCCAATAGATTTCGCTGGTGTACCATTATTTTCAATAGTTTTTTCTTGATAGACAAAATTTATTCTATTTATATATCTTTACAAAAATAAAAGTACAAAAAAATAAAATATTCGATCCTATTTCGAAGTAGTAGTTCCACTATTTTTCGACGACATTTTACGTCGATGAGCTAAACGTACTGCAAAAAAATCTTTTTTTTTTTTCTGTATGATTAGAAGTAAAATACTTACAAGCATCTTTTAATGATGGATGTGCATAGATCATTGCTTGTTCATATGTCATTAATTTATCAGGTTCAGGTCGAGACACATGTTGTTGAGAATTTGGTAATGTTCCTGTAACTTGAGGTTTTATTATTGCTGAAGGATTATGAATTATTTGTTGTTGTTGTTGTGGTGGTGCAAAATTTAATGAAGTTGATGAAGCTACGGATGATGGTCGCATTTGATTATTTACTGATTGATATTGTCGAATAGGTTGTTGATATCGACTATTATCTTGATGAATAAGTTGTTCGTGTTCTTGAAAAATTTTTATCAATTCTTTATTTATACGTTTTGTTTCTTCTAATTCCATCATTCCTTTTTTTATTTTATTCATCTGTCTTAACTAAAAATACAAATTTTTCTATTTATACATTACTAAGAATTAATTTTTTTACATATTCAGTTCTATGTAACATTAATTGATTCCATTTTGTATCTTGATAATCAAATACCTAATAAGAAATTAAATTTAATGGTAAGAAATTCAATAAAAACAAACGTACATCAAATAATTGTTTATACATATTTGCATAAAGTTTATATACTTGTTCACGTACTTGTGTTTCAGTTACATGAACTAATTCATAACGTGAGATAAATAATACTTTGATCTGTGGTGGTAACTATAAATAATAATATTAAATGATACGTTTTAATCTTAAACTTACATTGGAATTAATTGGATAGATATGTGTTGATTTTGAACAAATGATACATAAAAAATCGAAAGAAAATAAAACCTAAATAAATCATTTGTTTTATATTTACAAGTATTGCCATTCATAGTTTGTATGGCACAATCTCGACAGATAATATGACCACATGGATGACAATAAGCAAGTGATAAACGAGTATTATTTATACCATTATATTCACGTCGTTTACATAATTCACAATGTACCCATTCTGGTATAATGAAATTTGTTACTGGTACTGGCGTTTTTGTTGTCTCCGATTGAACTGATTTTGGTGTTGGTGCACCGATACTATTATTTAACATTGATGAATCTAAATCCTATGAAATACTTGATTAGAAAATGGCGATTATATAATGAAATATATTACTACTGATGCACGACTAATAGTTTGGGGTAGATTCATTGTATTGAACTAAATAGATCTTTAAATTTCGATACCGCCAAAGAGGCAGATACAATTTTGAATAAATATTTCTTATAAATTAAAATCACATTTAAATATAATTAAATAATTATGAGAAAGAATGAAAAATTGTATTAATTATTCGATTAAAATTAATATTATATAGAGGACACTACTGAACAGAAGATCAATGTTCAATCAGTGAGATTATTTGTAATAAATTTCGAACGTTTAGTTATCTCTTTATATTACCATTTGAATAATAAACTAACTTATAATTTCATAATCGTATAAAGTCATGTTTTATGGAAATACAAAACACATCAGATATAATAAATAATAAAAATAAACTGAAAAAAAACAAATTTTTCATCGTTTAGTTTTTGTTGAGAACAGAAAAAAACAAGCACCGGAAAAGTTAATCCTGACGAAAATAATCTACGAATCATCAGTAATAGATATTGTTTGTGGTTGTTGATTAAGTAAAAAATCCATTGTATTATTAATGATTTGTAAACGATCACGAAACGATTGTGAACTAAGTGCTGTATATTGTAAATGTGATTCAATGGGTAATAAATTTAACATTATCCAAGCCCAACTAGGACCATCATCTAATAAGATAAAGAATAAAATTCATTCAAAGAATAAATATCGATATTTACCTGATTCATGAGTTAAATCATCACATGGCGGATATCCGTCTAATTGACGAGATATTAATGTTCGTCGATATGGATCAAGTTGTTGAAACCAATCACGAACGCGTTTATATGTAGTTCGATTATATTGATATAAATCTAAAAATAAAATTATTTAAAAAAAAATTTTTATCAAAAATTAAAAACAAACCATCAAATTCATCTTGTTCAATTGCGTGATCTTTTATAAGTTGAATACGTGCTGTATTATATTCATCTCTCATTCCACGATCAATAACACGAAAACGTTGTCGACCAATTGTATCAACGATTGAACGACCATCTTGAGTATATACAAGTCCACGTATATATAATAATGTACCATAATCAGCAAATGTTCTATAGAATTATTAAAATAAAATATCTAGTTATCGTTTGCACTGATACATAGTACTAGTAGAATGTACTTTTTGTTGACCTTATTCTATTCTCTAGTATTTGTTTTCTATGCACTATAATATACTCGAGTGCAAAATATATTCAGGACGATTAGTGCACGTACGAAGAAGGAAAACAAAACTATTATACACACGCACATATATTTACAAGAATGTTAGTGTAAACTAATGGATATTTATAAACAGATTAAAAACATAATTTTATAGTAAATTATTTTCTTACTCTGTCTGTTCATTATATATACACATGCCAAATGTTCTTGATTGTGTTTCAATTGTTCGACGCATCATTAATCGATATCGTGGTTCAAATACATGCAATGGACAAGTAGAATGTGGTAAAGCTAATACACATATGAATATTGGAATTTCAAAAATAATGGATTCACCACTATCTGTTAATTGTTGTGGAATTGATGCTCTAGAAAAAGACAGATCTTGTATATAAATATTATTCGCTTTTTTTCGGAATAGAAATTTTACCCTTGAATATTTTCTTTTTCGTATAATTCACGTCGTTCATGAAATTCATTTGGAAAATAAGTTTCAATAATTTGTGAAACAAGTTCCGTTTTATTTACATGTGATTGTATTAATAATGGAAAAAACTAGAAAATAAATAATAGTTAATTGTTTTTACTTTCAAAAGAAATACAAACATCTTCTAAGGATTTTTTACATATTGGACATTGTGCATGTGTATTATCAATCGAACGAATTAGACATTCTCGACAAAATATATGACCACATGGAGTTGTTACTGGAAACCATAATAAACTAAAAACATTATATATATATCTTCTTATCAAAATTCAATATTCATATCTTACTTAACACATATAGAACAATCATAATCTCTTGCATTAATATGTTCAGAATCAAATAATGCACAAAGGCATGGTGTTAACGCTATATATATTTAAATGAATAAATCTTTATATTTAAAAATTCTATTAAACTTACGTGTTGATTTACACATATGTAATTTAGTATCACATGTATCTAAACAAATTTAAGTAAACATATGGTTCAATAGTTATTTGTTGATTCGAAATATATCATGTTTACGTTATTTACAGAACAATACATATATGTATGAATGTAGAAATACTGCTATTAGTATTATATGTTTTACAGGTGCATATACTAATCGGTCAGAATGACCCAGCCTGTTTAATCACTGTACATAAAAGTAAGGATACTTTTGTAATTTTTCTTTTCAGGTAGATACATTGTATGTATTAAACAGTACAAACCTTCTAATGTCGTATTTTTTTGTATAATCATATATTATTTTTTAGACGCCCATAATTTGATTTATTCTTACTTGAAGTCATGACTTGTTTGTTGGTATTATTTGTTGACGGAAACATATTTAAGTCATTTTCTGCTCTTGTTACATCTTGTTTGTCATCGTTATTATGTAGAACAGTATGAAGATGCTTTAATAACATAATAAATTAAAAGATAATCATCAAAATTTTAATACATACTCGAGCCATTATCTGTTTGCCTATTTGATCATCTGGATCAATCGTCAATCCTTGTAATGATGATAATAATGCTGGTGTAAAACATTTCATTTCAAATAATATTTCACTACGACAATAATAACCCTAAGTAAAATCAAACAATTTGTTTATTTTTCTTTAAGAAAGCAAAAAAAATATTTCTTACTTTTGCCCAATATGGCTTCAGTAAAATAACTTGTTCGATATCAGTAAGAGCTTTATCGAATTGTTTTAATACTTTATATGTCTTGGCTCGACCATAGAATGCAATATGTTCATCATCATCTTAATAAATAATAATTATAAAAATATTATTTTTTTTTCTATCCTTACATTTTCCAATTATATCTGAATAAATATCAATCGCTTGTTGATAATTTTTCTTCATATATTCATTTTGTGCTTTATGACATAATAAAATATTTTCACATTTTAATTTAAATGTTGTAGAACGTTCAATAATTTGTTTAAGAAAATGATTTTTACTAGAATTATTTTCTCTTGCATAGATAATTGAAGATTTAATTTGTTCTTGAATATCTTTCGGACAACGCGGACAATTTATCGACGAGAATTTATCATCTTTTATACATTGTTCACAATATGTATGACCACAATAAAGTGTTATTGGTTCATAGATGAAATTTTCACAAAATAAACAAATCCAAGGACATGATGTTATCAGTATTGATGATGATGATGACATTTGTTGAATAGCTACTTGTTGACAAATTGGTTCAAGTTCAATAATTGTATAAGATAGAAAATGTGTATCAGGTTTTTGAAGATCAGATAATATTTGATAAAAACGTTTGATAAATGATGATTGTTTATTTTTTACTGATGATTTTTTATTACTATGATTTTGTTTTAATTGTCGTTTACGATATCGAAATGAAGATTTTTTTAATGATTGATTTTTATGTATTGAGAACATTGTTGATTAAACTGGAAGAAGGTAAACATCAGAATATATATATGTATGAATGTATTAGAATTTTACGTATGTTCTTAAAACAGAAAAATATCGACACTAAAAGACACAACTGATTACGTGAGCAATGTCTATTTGCTTGTTCTCTATTTCTCTTTCTCTTCTCTCGCAAAATTTTGGATGACGTACTTTTATCATTCTGTTCTTTCCACCCCCTTGTCGACCGATTACAACATCGCAAATATTTCAGTACATAAAAATAGTTATATAACTAGTTTTACGCTATTTATTAAAGAATAACCAAATGATCTATTTAAGTTTTCTGAATGAAAAAAAAAAAAATTCAAACTATTTATTTATTTATTATTATCACATCAATGAGACTGATATTTATCTGCCCTCGTATTGACCTATAAATTTATAGGTTATTTGTCAAAAAGGTATCGAGATTTTAAAAGTTTAGATAATATTATAAATAATTACATAAGCTCAACCGTCACCGACAGGCCGAAATACCTTGAAATAATGATTACTTAATATACTTTTGTAGTGCAAATTGTCAAGAGAGCAATAAGAATCTACTTACTAACCTGTTTTGTTATATAACAATGCCATCAATTAAATTAAATATATTGTTAATATTAAAAAAATTCATTTATTTACATTTAAAATAAGGAATCATTATAAAAACTTTAATTTGAGATATATTCACATGCAGATAAAATAAATGGTAAAAGTAAAATTTACTTATATAAAATATATAAATAAAAAGAAAACGAGAGAAAAAAAATATCAACGAGATTATTAATTATTAGAAAGAAGAAGAAGAAAAAAAAGGTAGAAAAAACACCGTTAACGTGACATAGAATGAATTATTTTCGTAATTGTTTACATAAATTGGAAGCAATATGACGAGATTTTGAGATAAATTTATTTTTCATCGGATCAGATTTTTTTCTTGATAATGCTGATGGTGGTGATGATGAGGGTGATGTATGATAATTTTGTAATGGTAAATAACTAATACCATTTGGCATCGTACGAGATGCACGTCGAGTCCATTTATCATGTCCACTTATATGAACTAATTCCAAATACCAAGAAAACATTTGATTACGATCAGCAAAACGAAATGATATACCATATGGTGATTCATTATGGCTTTGTTCAATAATTTCAGGTGGTAAAATAGTTAATACTCGATATTCATTCATATCAAATGGATTAACAATACGACAATCAGCACCAATATAAAGATAAAGATTTTCAATTGGCCAAGATTTAATTAAAGTTTGTTTGTCAAATAATATACTTGGATCGGAATCTTGTTGATTAAGACTCGATTTCCATTTAACAACTTTATCATTGGTACTATTATTTGATACTCGATGAATTTGCAGCTAATTAAGTAGAAAAAATATAATAATGTTCCTCGCAACCTTTTATCATTTATAAAAGCTATACTATTTTTGAATTTGTACTTTGTAGTACGAAAGAAACGTTGAGATCTTATGGTGCAAATCTTTTCTAATATTTATCTGTCTCGTCTCGCATTTTTTCTCTTTTAAAGGAAGTAAAGAAAAGAATAAATAGAGGTGAACAGGAACACAGTTTTTCATAGCATCTAAAAATAGATATATCAGTGCATTCTTTTATTTATTTCAATGTTAATCATACGATAGTAATACGAACATCTAGTGCATATAAAATAACAATCTATTATAATTACGAATAGATATGTTTAATTTAGTATAGGCTAATTGAATTGACGACAATTTTGTACGGCAAAACATTTAAATTATAAAGTCGTTCTACTTTATATAAAATAACGGAAAAAAAGTAATTAATTGTTTTGATCATTACTATAAAGATTAATCTGAGTAAGAAACGCATGTGGAAAGAAGATTGAAGAAATTAATCCTTTCTATGTTATTTAAAAGGATTTAAGTATTTATTGAATGATAAAGGTGACATAGTTTATACTACCAAAAAAAGTATTGGTTTTTTCGATAACAAAGTTTCCTATAATTTTTTAAAATTCTATTCTATTAAATGTTCAAAATAGTCACCATGAATATTTGTATGTACTATCGAAATATAATATTCTCAAACATGACGCCAAAAAATGTTATACGAGAGAGATAAATGAAAATGAAATTTCAGAATGTACCCGAGCATTGTATAAGGATCAGTTAAACAGTCGCTACCTTATATAGAATACTCGATTAAGTAAGAAGTATTGGATAAAACTGATCATAGACATTGGCGAAATGTGCTAATAAAAGTCTTGAATCAATAATATTTTTTATCACTTATGATGATATTTTTAAAAATCTTATATATGCATCTGACTCTAATTGACTAACAAACAAATTAAAAGACTTACAACTGCTTTTTCAGATATCCAAACGCATGGTGTCCATCGTTGATTTGAAATATCAAAATATTCACATTGAACTGATTGATTATTAAACATATATGATCGTTGTTCTAAACGTTCTTTTTCAAATTGAATATAATTAAGTTTAACAACAAATGTTGCCTGTCGATTTAATTGATGTGATAAATATGTTCTATAACGATATAAAACTTCGGATATATTTTCACATGCATACATTGGTCGTTCAAGATTTTGATCAATAATTACTTCAAATAAAGCCCAAAAGAACGAATCATTTTGATTAATACGTTTTAATAATTTATCAATAATCATATCAGCTGTTGTTTCTTCTTCACAAATATTCATTGCATATCCATTTAATTCATCAGCACGAGATTCAAAATAAACTGATATCATTGTACCATTTAATATACGTGGTATAGGTTGATTTTCTGTTATTGATATTAATGTTTCTATACAATGTTTTTCATGTTCAATTTCTTCATAAGTTATATCAAATAATTCACAATAATATATACAAAGATTACTCATTATTTTAAGATCAGCTTGTATTGTAGGTGTAACATGAAGATAAGCTGATGATATTGGAAATTGTGATAAGCTGGAAATTGTTGCAATGGATTGACGACGAGCTACGAATTAGAAATATTTATTTGATCATCATTGATTGCATATGGATACTAGAGATAAGATCTAGAATCTCCTATTAGGTTGATTTCCATTATTGTTACTCAAGTACAACAATCAGACAACTTTGAGCAGTTATGGTGAATTTCAAATTATTCTTTTAGAGTATGAGACTACACGATTCAGATTAGACAAATATGATTATAAACTATCATTTCAAAAAGTATCTCGGCGTTAATTATCAGATCGTCGAACAGTTATTATCGATTATCTCGAGTACAAAAGAACAGTATTCTAGTATTCTGTCCATCAAACATCGATCTACAGCTATTCATTACTAAACCACAGAAAAACGTTCAAAAATCATATACTCAAGTTTCCTATTTACTAATTTTTTATATTATAAAATTTACACTTTTAAATTTCACAAACAAAGATCAATCGTGCTTACCTTGAATTGATTGATTTCTTTTAAGTTTAGTTACTAATGGACTATTATTAAGATCAAATGATTCTTGTGTATCATCTTCATTTGTATCTTTGCTATTAAGATCATCTAATGATCTATTACGATAGCCATATGTATTATTCTTATTATCCATTGGTACTGAAATACCTTGTGACACAAGACATGGTGCAAATGTTGAAATAAGATTTGTTAAAGTCATTCCGTTTCTATCAGCTAATGCAGCAACTGTATGTATATGTATTATCATTACTCTCAATGTTGCATAATGTATTGGAAAATGTTGTTTTAAATCTTTAATTAAAGCACGATAATATTGAATTAATTGTTCATGTGTAATTGTTTTATCAACTATTGATCGTAACCATGCATAATAATTTTGACGTGAACCAAGTAAGGGCATATCTAAATGACGTAGAAAACGTTTTAATGCATTAGCAACATCATGTTCAGTATAATTTTCATATGTTAATAAAGAATTATATGGATCTTCAAGACATTCATTTAATAATTGTTTAACTTTTGTTTCTTGACCAGCTTGACGATAAATACCTAAAAGAAAAGAATATAAATAAGCTTTTTCTTATATTTCAATCGGGAGTATACGAAAGATGCGGATGGGATTTTAGCAATAAAATGAACCCTTTCAATGTGTCGAGAGCCTAACAGCTTGATGTCTACAGTATTCACCTTTTGTTTGTAATCCATGTTCAAAAATGAAATTAATAAATCGTTCAACAATAACTGGTATATTTTGTGATGTTAAAATTTGTTTATTTAAATCTGTTAATGTTCGAACTTGAATTGCTTCACGAAGACATGAATATAACATATCAGTTAATTTAATAATCGGTGATGATAAATAAAGAAAACGATTTGAAATAAGACAAAGTACAACACCTGTGAATTCTTTACTTTTCTGATATGCTGAAACAAAAAAAAACGCTAACGAATTTAAGAACAAAAAAAATTCTACTGAATAATTTACTTAAACTCGAATATTTTCTTAAATCGACTTCATCATAGATTGTATCTGAACAAATAACAAAACGTCCAGAATAAACAATTGCTATAACTTGTTGTTTTTCAGCATTCATTCCTTCTTGTACATTTAATTTCATTAATAAAATAAAATTTGGATAAATTAATTGATGATAAGAATATTCTCGTTTAATTATTTCATGTATCCATATAGAACGTTCAAAATCATTTGGAAATACCCATACATATTCATTTGTTGATGTTTCTTCATCAACAATTAATATACATTGACTATTTACATTCATTACGGGTGGATTTGTTAAACGACATTTCAATGAAACAGCATTTACTGATTGATTACATATAGCAAGAATATTATTTAAATCAATTTCAAATAAATATCGTTGAGATTTGTCTGAATTTGATGTTGGAGAAGAAACTTTAAGACGATTATTTTCATAATATGTTCGAAATTCTTTAAGTACTCCATGTTTAGAAGATAAATAAGCAATTGTTTCATTTTTTTCATCTGAATTTGTCTTCATTAAATCAAATTCCGATTGACCTACAAACAAAATTTTATTATTTAGTATTTTGAAATATTTTATTGATCATTAATAATATCAATTGTTTTTATATGTGAATCAACAAAAAAACAACTAACTTCATGATTCGATTGAAATCAATGAAAATATAAACATTAAGAATCCACATCTTTTTCCACTGTCTTCTCTATTCAGGGTTTAAAGTTAAGTTTATATACGATCTGAAGGTAACTATAGATTTGAACAAAACATGAATGGTCTTGTATTTCAAAGGATCTTCTCTATCGTGTAGAATTCTAAAATTTAGAAGAAAATATCATTGTAAACGTGTTGATTTTCAAATAAGTGCTCGTATATCTTAAATATTCGTCACTAATGGAACATTTTTTAAGAACTGTAAGTAGTTTAAAGATTTGTTATCGAAACTAACTTTAAATATTTAATTCATTAGATTAGTGAGTTATTTTCATCGTAGTAATATAAGAATTAGTATCTTATTAAATTTTCATGAGCAGTGATTTATCTAGAGGGAGAGCAGTGATGGCGGCGCCCGCTCGAAAACCGATTTTGCCCTCCCGAAAATTGCAATTTTTGTGCTTATACTATGTCTTTTCTCTCCAGAAATTAGGTTGTCGCCCTCCCGGATATCGCTATCGCACTCTCGAAACGAAAAACCTAGATAAAATACTGTTCATGAGCCAATGATAGTGAGATAATAGGTTCGGTATCTTCTCGGAATCGAGATGGGTAACTCCGGGGACATACTACTCCAACTCCACTTCGATTTGATAAGACAAGTTTGTTTCAATACGATTCACTACTTTTCTTTTTCTTCCAATATCGAATGAAATCAACAAGAATCAAATCACGAAATTCAACTGGATTCTAACTCCAACGAGAAAAGTGTTAACTCTAACTCCGAGTTGGAGCTACCCATCTCTGCTTCGAAAATCAAGATTTCTACTAGTATTAGTTAATCCCATGACTCTATAGCTTGTATTAATTTAACTAATTTTTTTATATATCTCTTTCGAGTAATACTAATTTTATCTTTTAAAAACTATGAATTGTTATAACATGCAAACTATTAGGTGTATAAAAAAAAGAATCCCTCAATACATATTAGAAACGAAGAGAACACAGCTGGTGTTAGTCTCTATTCATTCTACTGAGCATATTAAATACACACGTTACACTACTACTACTAATTCTTTAATTTCAATACTCTGTAATTATTCTTTTGATAAATATCCATCTAGTAAAATATGAATAAAAGATATTTAAAAAAGCCAACAAAAATATATATATATATATTATGCGCAATATAATTTTCTACCTCCATTTGCTAAAATAATTTTCAATTGTTTAATTTGTTGATGTCGTTTAGCATGATCTGCAACAGGAAACATTTTTTCTGAATAATTTGGATCTGCTCCTAACATAATTAAATGTAAAGTTTTCCCACAATCTGTTGTTTCAACATTTTCATATAACATTTTATTTAAATCATATTGTGTATAATAATAATTCGATTGATTTGATCGAAGATAGATTTTTTCAATATATTTTTTTCGTATATATTGTTCACGTTCGAATTCCGATGAATTATCATTAGGTTTTGAAAATTGTGAAGTTTCATTTTCTAATAAACTATTAGAAAATTCATTACCATAGTCACAAAGTAAATCAATTAAATAAGGATCACATGCAGTCGTAAGTAATGATTGAAGACGAAGAAAATCTGATGTCAAAAGCCGATGAACATCTATAACAGAAGGAAAGAAAATAAATGATCCAAATATTAATGAAGAATTGACTTACTAGCACAATTTTTACATATTACTAAAAGCCATGACATAATAGCAATTGTTGGATATTCAGAATTACAATCCGCACATTGACAATTGCTTAAATTTTCTCGAACTTGTTCAAGATATGCCGTTGTTCTATCTTAATTAAAGGCAAACAAAAGTCAAAATATAATAGGAGAACTCTTTCTTACCTAATTCACATGAATTTTCATCATTATTCATTGATCTATTAGCAAAATCATCAATTAAAATTGAAGTTGAACTGGGTTTCTTATACATTGATTCTAATGAAGGGCTAAAGCAAAAAAAAACGTTTTGAATCTTTTGCTAATTTTAGATACTTACTAAATATTTGATTTATTTTGTAATAATACTTGACTTTCTTTTTGATTAATTTCTGAATCTAATAAATTCTTTTCATCATGTTCCTATAAGAAAAGTAGGTCAAAAATAAGAGGTTTTTTTTTATTAAAATTGTAACTTCTAATCGAATCATAATTATTTTTTAATAATCACAACTACTATCAAGCAGCTAGAGGAAATAAAAAAGAGCATACTTTTCTTATTCATTCATTCATTCATTCCTATGATGTAAAAATGACATTCAAACATGCATTTTTTTCACTTCTGAAGAAAAGACATTATTGAAAAGCTATTTACCAATAATGAAGGTCGATTTGAAGTGGATGGAGAATTTGAAGTGGTTATTGAATTGTCATCAGGTATTGATGATGTAATATAGAATAGAGTTGTATTCGGTGGATCTAATGAAACGGAATCTGTATTATCATTTCCTTGTGATAAATATGCTAAATTATTAATTCTATTGGATGAAAAAGCATTTCTTGGGCGGAATGTAACAGGATAATCATCATTATCTCTATTGATTGATGGCGGTTGTTCATTTGAGTTTTCAACGGTATTTGCGTCTAATTAAAAGAAGAAGAAGATTATTTCAAAAAAAGAGGTTATCTTAATGATTTAAATATGCAGAACATGAATGCGAATGTTCATCAAAGATTTAGTCTCAAAATCTTCTGCAAAAGCTATGTTTACGGGACATATCATCGTGAGTAAACGTCGATTATATCATTTTGATATGAGTTATATACAATAATTTACCGTCGAATGGTACAGCATCATTATGATCAGTAGTCTGAGTTATTTTCGTCGTTGGCGTCTTTCTTGCTCTTGGATGAGGTATTGGTCGATTTTTGAAAATGGAATTTGATAGATGAGGTTCACGGGGTATATCAAAGGAATGTTCCATCTAGAATAAAATACAAAGTAAAAACAATGAAAGGAAATCACCGTTTTATCGCTTAGCACAAAAAAAAAGTATCACAAAAGAAAGCAAAAACAAAACATGTTATCAAAGTTCTTTGGTTTCATTTATCATTGTGGGCTGTTGTTCTTCTTGTTTTTCATTTGATAGAAATTTTTCACGAATACGTTGTGCATCGAATGAATGAGCATTCATTACACAAACAAGATCTTGCCAACGGTCATCATCACGCATTTGTCGAAAATAACCATATGATTGTAGACGTTTCTTTTTATGATAATCACTTTCCTTTTTAGCAAATTTCATTGTTACTAAACTTGCGGCTGGTTCAGGTTTATTTTCTTCACTTTCACTTCCTGATTGTTCACCATCACTTCCATTCATTTGATCATCATCATTAGTATTTCCATCTTTTGTTGTACCAGATGTTGAAGAGGATGTATCGAGATAATTGAATTGTGGTCGTAATTGAATTATAGATTTTAACGGACAAAGAACTAACTGACGAGTAATATTATTAAATATACCAACAGAATAACAATCACCTAAAACGATATAATTGAAATATTTCTCTTTCATAAACATTAAACTATGTTAATCTAATAATTGCTCATTATCTGCAATTATAAAGCTATGTTATATACCCTATCCTAACAGTTTTACGAAAAAATAATTTCCTGTGATGCATATTTGAACTTATTCGCCTTTTGTTAATTTTCTTTCGATACCACTAGTCGTCTCTTTATATATGTACAAGTTCTCAAATATTTTATTTTCTCGTATTTTTCATCTAATACATTATCATTCCTATTATTCTTCCATCAGACTGTCATTTTTACGCAGTTTTCTTGTACATCATTTTATTCGTCCACTAATAGAACTCTTCGGACCTAACAATTTGGAATCCTAGCTTTAATATTTCTCATCTCGGATTTCAGTCGTAACTCTATTACTTTCACTGAAGTTTTCCTATACCATATACTTATCAAATAATATTGTCATAATTTAAATTTTACTCTTTTCATGAGTTATCTTTATACCTTTACAATCAATGAAATCCTACCTTAAATGACTATATAAGAATTATTTTTTCTATGAAAATATCAGCGTACAGCCAAAATAAACTATACAAATAGGTTATAAAAACTCTCAGTATGTACATACATGACTTTCATTCATGTAAATAAAAATGCCTGAAAGGTTTCGAAAAGCTTTTCTTTTTACAAAAATAAGTAAATATCGACAACAATAGATTTTAAATGCTACATACTTTTTTCAAAAAGTATAAGCACACATAAGATGTACAGCTAATCGATTCATCTCAATAGACAAACAACATAGAAGATATATTATATTTGTCTCGATACAGATCTATATTACCTTAACTCATGTTTCATTAAAGGAAACAAAGATTTTATTTTTATTTTTTTGTCATAATTACCATTTGATGAAATAGTTGATGCAATAGTTTGTTTATCCATACGATCACTATTGAAAAATTGTTTTCCATTCTCATTATTTGTACTATCAGCAAATTGTTTTCCTCTTGCTGAATAATAATTTGAACATTGTGGATCAACAAGTAAATCCATTTCAACAAGAGAATGTTTTTCTTTAATTCGTGCACTTGCAAATGATATTTCATCATACGATCGATAATTTGGTCGAATTGGATATTGAAATACATAAATGGATTGTTCTGTTCGACGAAATTCAACATCAAGTTCACATAATAGTTCATCATTATCATCGATGTCCATTGATGAATGTCCGTTAGTCATTATGAAAGACTAATTGAAAATAATAATAATAATATAATTGAAAAAAAAACAGAACAGGTGTTTTTTATCGGTTGAAATCGAGCAAGGACGAAAATATGAATCATTCAGAAAGAAATCATTGGTGGCGACACATATGAAATATTCTTATTTGTAGGAAAACTTTAACCATTAAGAATATGTCTGTTTTTTTTTGTAAAAATAGAACACGTTCATTTATATAAAATGTTCGAAGGACTACCTCGTGAATACGATGTTATCGTTGTTGGGACAGGTAATAAATATATATTTTATATAATTTTTTGTTATAAAAGATTTATTAATATAGGTATGGTCGAGAGTATTCTCGCAGCTGCTTGTGCTCGTAATGGAAAGACTGTATTACATATTGATACGTAAGATATTGTCAAAAGATAATAAAACTAATGATTGAATTATTATAGAAATGAATATTATGGTGCAGAATGGGCATCATTCTCATTAAATGGTTTAATAGAATGGACACAAATGCAGGAGAATCCGAAAGTATGTTATCAACAGAGATGCAGAATTTTTCCAAAAAAAAGAATTTCGCCCCACCAGAAAAATTTCTCTGAAAAATGCAGTTTTTTTAAATATTTCCCCCCGCGCGGAGGCGCACGAGGAAGATTCTGCACCTGTGGTTATCAAAAAACTAATTATCAATAAACGTTAAAGGTTTGTTTTGTATTTTCTAGATAGATATTGATCCACAGGATGATAATGAAAAGATTTTACCAATTGGTAATCCACTGAATGTTTTTCGTAATGTCGAACTCAAATGGAATATCGAGTGAGAATAAAGAGAAGAATTGATAGTTTTATTTTCAAATTATTAATTAAGAAAAACTAATGAACAAACAACAACAACTGAAAATGAATCGACAAAACCTATTACATTAGATGTATTGGAAAAACAATCGAGAAAATTTAATATTGATTTAACACCAAAAGTTAGTAATATTTTATTTCTTTCCTATAATAAACATTAGAACGATTTGTTTTGTCTAGCTTTATTATGCATCGGGTGGTCTTATCGATCTACTTGTTCAATCGAATGTGGGAAAATATTGTGAATTTAAACTTGTTTCTCGTCTTTTATTTGAACGTAATGGACAAATTGATAACGTAAATGAAATAGGAATATTTTTAACTTGATATAAAAACAATAAATATCTTTCAGGTACCTAGTTCACGAGCTGATATATTTAATTCAAATGATATTAGTCTTATTGACAAACGTTTATTGATGAAAGTAATTATGAATTGTTCATCAATGGCAGTTGAAGATTTGAATGAAGGTAAAAATCTTATTTGTCTATAGTAGTAAAAATCGCATCAATATATTTTAGAACACGACATTCCATTTATTGAATATTTAAAAAAACAAAAATTAAATGATACACTCTGTCATTTAATTATTAATTCAATTTCAATGGTTGATTATAATGCATCAACAAAAGAAGTATTTTCATTTGTTATTTTGTTTGTATAATTTATTATTTGTGATTTATGTAGGGTATTATTAAAGCTAAGCGATATTTAGATTCAATTGGTCGTTATGGTAATTCACCATTTCTTTATCCATTGTATGGTAATGGTGAAATGTGTCAATGTTTTTGTCGTTTATGTGCTGTTTTTGGTGGTTTTTATTTTCTACGTTTTCCATTAGCTGGATTTACTATTGATTCATTAAATAATCAATGTACTGGTATTGTATCAACAACAGGAGAAAGATTTCGTGCAAAAGATATGGTTATTTGTAATAATTCATTTCTGGAATTAATATCATCAAATAAAAATGTTATTCATCGAACTGTTTTATTTACAAATAAATCAATTCAATCAAGTGAAAAAGAAGAAGTAAAAACAAATCATTTTTACATTTGAATAAAGAAAGTGATTGAAATTTTAATATCATAGGTGACTTATCTTCGTTTAAGTGCTCAGAATAAAACTGGAATTCATATTATTGAAGTTGGCTTTGGACCTGGATGTGCACCAGATGGATTTTGTAAATGAAATTTATTATATTAGATTATCAAAGAATTCGTTTTTCTTTTAGTTCTTCTATATATTTTTCAAGAAAGTTCATCCGAGAATACTGATGAAATTATCGAACAATTGCTACGTTTAACAGGAGGTAATACATATATAAATTTATATTTAAAATTTTTTGTTTGTTATTAGATAATTTCACTCGAGATAATATTCTCGGTCAATTAACATTTGATCAAGTAGACACAATGTCAACATCTTCATCATCATCAACACTTTCAAAACTTATAGTTACTCATGGACCTGATGGTTCAATTGATCATGATAGTGCTGTTGAAGCGGTTAGTTTACACTTTGTTTTTTCTTCGAATAAATCTTATATTAAATTCTAGGCTCGAAATCTTTTTTATGAAATATATTCGAACCGCGAAGAATTTTTAGCACGTGCACCTGATCCAGAAGATATTATAATTGAAGGTACTGACAATACAGATGAAACTAACAATACAGATGAAACTTCTACAACAAATACAGCTACTGATGATACTTTAGCAACAAAGACAAGTACAGATACCGAAGCTTTGTGAACTATTTGATTCCGTTTTTTTATTATAATAATAAATTATTCTTTTACTAGTCACGAAAATAATAGATTTTTCTTCTCAAAGAATTAATGCAAGCAATAGGCTAATGTTTATCTGGCTATATATATATTCTTTGTATGGTTCTTGCTCAACGCACTCTCATCCGTAAAAGTGCTTTATCCAGCGGTTGCGTTGGGTGGGCGCCGCTGTCTCTTAGTTTCAATCTGCCCATTCGAAAAAATACAGTAGCTGCATATTTTGCGATGATCCGTATGGGTGCTGCCCACCCTAAGTTCGATTTGCCCATCCGAAAAACGGATCTGCAACTATTGTCACCCGCATCTTTCGAGATCTCACTTCGTACTTATATAATTTAAAGTTCAAAAGTTGTAAATCAATATTTATCAGTGGTAATAGTTTTCTATTAATAAACACTAAACAAAATATTTATTCTTGAGTTAGTTATTAAACAATACAATAATTATAATACATAGGACAAGTAAATATGTATTATTATGTTTCTAGATTTATAAAAAAAATTTGACTAAACATCACTTTGTGGTTTTTGTAATTGATATTCTGTATATTGTTCAATAATTTCATTTTGTTCATCATGATTAGGATCATCATGAAAATCATTTTCAATACGACCAAATTCAACTTGTTTTTGTGCACTAATTGTAATACCAACCATATTTCTATTTATGATATAAATTTACAATAGATATGAAAAAAAATGAAATAACATACTCGATCATTTTAATCCGAAGAATTTCTCGAAAACTAATTTGTAATTTTTCTGATTCGGCTTTAGCTGTTATTAAAAATTCCGAAAAAGCAATAACACATGATAAAATAATTCCAAATAAAAATATATAAAAAAGACCAGTTACACTTGAAAGGCTTAATTCACTAAAACGTTTATCTTTTGCCGTTAATGAACATTCAGATCGTTCATACCTTCAAGAAACATTTGAAAATAAATAAATTCGTAAAAATAAAATAAGTTTAACACATACCACCAACGTTGTTTAAGTTTATCCATAAAACCTGATTCTCGAAGACTTGTTACAATAATATCAATTGCTTCACTTAAATCTGAACCTAATCTTGTAGCAATTCCATAACCTTTCGAATCTAAATCAGAACCAACTTTCATTGTATCACAAGGTCTTCGTTCATTAACATATTCATTTTTTGTTGATCTATAATTTGTATAATTGACAATATATATATATACGAAAGAAAACAAAAAGAAAATTTACTCAATAAAAAATGCATATTTTCCTTTTGAACTTCGAACTTTTGCCACACCTTCATCATTAGATGTAAAAAATACTTCCGATGAACTTCGTTGCATAACTGCCCACATATGTTGAAAAACAGTGACATTCGATTTTTCAAAAAAAGCTGATGTTGTTCCATTTCGCACTGATCCATATTTTATTTCTTGCTGTTTAGCTACAAATAAAATTAGTTTATATAAAAATAATCGTTCTTTTCAAATATAATGAAGAAGAAATTAATGATCTACAATAACTGTATCTGCCATTAACGAAGACAATTTCGGTAGTGCTATGACGCGAACAAAATTGAAGCGGTTATAGCAGTGGCGGATCTAGGATTTTGGAAGGGGGAGGGGGCGAGTTTTTTTTTGATTATGGAGGGGCGATACCTGGGGAGGGGGGCGATTTTGGTTACAAGCTATTTCTTGAGTCCAACCGAAGTAATGTGAACCTATTTTTTCGTTCATTTTTGCTGTAAAAAATCAAAAAAAAATTTCGGAAGCGGAGGCGATCACCCCCCCCTCCCCCGCTAAATCCGCCACTGGGTTATAGTATGTTGAGCTGTTTCATAATCCAAATATTTATAAGAAACATAACTTGCAAAGTTTATAGCTAATATTATTATGAATAATGCTCCGAATAACTATATTTCCTTACAGAATTATATCGACAGATGATGTTTGCTATTATATAGCGTTAATTTCAATGAAGAAGAAAAGGAAACGTCATCAATAATGTATATATAGAAATATGATTAAAACTTGTTAAGAACATTTATTGTATTATTTATCTTCTATGAATTATTCATCTTGTTCTTTTTTTATCTGTCTATAAATAGAACTAGTAATAGTAATCCTATTGATTTGCTTGCATGCGCATAGCTGAGCTCGATTATATTTATAATCTGATGTAATATTACTTACCTAAATCTTCGACACTTTCAATAGGTGTAACTAATTTTTCCACAGTTAGAAAAGCGACGAGATTAGCTGTATAAGATGAAATAAAAATCAATGAAAAATACCACCATGATGTTGCAGCAATTCGACCAGAAAATGATTTAGGTACAAGATTTATTGATTGTCTCATAAATGAAGCAAATGAAAAGAATAATGCATTTGAAATACCAAATAAATGAACATCATTTTGTTTTAATTCTATATCTTTTGTCTTTTGTATTCTTATATCATCATTAATTGGTGTAGACGTATGTTGTCGTGCTCGATGATGATGTCGACGACGAACTGTTTGTTTCAATGGTGTTGTTATTATAGTTACTTCCGATGAACGTCCTGAATCTTCTGAATCACGTTTTTGACGATGTAATTCAATATCAGTTTTATGTTTATCATTAACACTTTTTGGATATGTATACGTACGATAAGATGGTTGACGAACAACACGTCGACGCCAAGCAGAATTAACAACACGTGATGTTAGAAATAAAACAACACTAACAGCAAAATAAGCTAACGAAAAACATAACCATATTTCCATCGAAACTGGATGCATAAATGAAAATACACCTGGTTTTTGTGCATCTGGTTTTGAAATCTAAAAAATCAAAACGAATACATAAAGACTAATCGATAGAATTCGAATGTATGTATTAAATCTTCTTCTCTAAATTTTATCATGTAAATCAAACTGAAACCCACTTTGTATAATTAGAATTCTCACTATTTCAAATTTTTCATTTATCTTATAGTTGTATCAATAAAAAGAAATCTAAACATACCATAATAGAAATGCCTAAATTCATAAATGGTTTGCTAAAATCGACTGCTTCCATTCGTACTTGACTAATAGTTAACGGAGCAATTGCCATATCCGCTATACGAGATACAATTTCCCCAACCATTCCTTCGAAAAAAAGAAAAGAAAATTAACAAATCTTCTTAAAAAGATTTTCTCTATTACTTACCATTCCAAGAGCCTGTTGATGCATTTTTACTTCCAAAACCTCCATCTCGTACAATATGAAATTTACATGTTATATTTAAAATTGAACAAACTTTTTCAGCTAAATCTACACAAAATCCTTCTAATTCATGAAAATCAAATAAACGACCACGTAATTCTTTTAAATCAGCTTGTGGATGACTATATTTTGCATGTAAATCTGTTCGTTTACGTAACATAAGAAATGGTTCATCAAATAAACTTGTTATATAATACATTCTTGATGTTGCTACTTTGTATCTTCTTAAATATTCAGCACGTTTATCTGTAACACATGATTGATAATCATCATGTATACTTGAATATCGTCCTGTTAATTCAATTTGATTTTTATATATATTTAAACTTGATTTTCTTATTGCATAAATATTAATATCAGTTAAATTTTGTTGGAAAACTTTTGTTTTAGTTTGTTTTAAACGAAATGTTTTACAATCAATTAAATTTGATTTAAATATACGTATTATTAAATTTAATGAATCATATAAAGAACGTGCACGTGTTTGATATGATTTAGATAATTGTGAAGTAAAATATGTATAGGAAAAATATTCATCATTTCGTTTAAGTTTATTTGTACATAAATTTAATTTTCTATTATTAATATCTGCTGTATTATTTGATATTGATTGATTAGAATTTGATGATTTATATAGATCATGATCACTACGAAATGATAATGTTGATCGATAATAAGTTGCATGATGTTTAGATTTTGATGATGAGGAAATTTTTTCACTAGAAGAAGAAGATGGTTGCTGATCAAGTTTACAATCATGCTGTTGATAATCAAAATAAATTAAATGTCCAGTTAAATTCACTCCTTTCATCCATGAACAAACATCAAAACTTGAAAGAAGTATATAGTAATATAAATCACTAGTAAGACCTACAAACAAAAAAAATATAATTCTTTATGAATTAATAGACATTGTAAACTAGAAAATAAGTTATAGAGTTTTTTTAAGGATATTCTAAAAATGTCTATGTGAATATAACCAACATTTTCCAAGTACTTGAGAATCACTAGCAGTTTTTTGCTAGGAAATAAAGTTGAATTCATAGCTTCCCGAAAATCAAACATTTCATAAAAAATCGAAAATCAACTAGTGAATCATTAAATTTACCGTGTATAATTATCTAATAAAAATGTAAAATGAACTATTAAGATTTGAACAATAATATAATTAGAAAGAATGTGTAGTACTTTGAACTATGAGTCTCTTCGCAAGTGGTTCTACTGAGTTATTCACTATCGATACTTATATCCTAAGGACTGACTAAATCTAATAAATGTTGATAGTCTCTTATCTATATAGTAGAGATTCAGAAGCTCATGTACTTTACTGAACGTGTTAAATTCAGCGCCTTTTATTGAGATGTCAAAATTCTGATTATCCAATTGGAGATAATAATCGATTAGAAATAAATTGCTAATAACAAGCAAAAGAAAAAATAAATCTCATACAAACCCATATGTGAAATTTTATCAAACATATTTTCATAATCTACGAATGCTTTAAGATCTAACACAATATATTTTGGTGGTTGATCTTTATGATTTGAATGAATATCAATACTATATAAAAGTGAATAAATATCTTCATGTCGTGTTACTCTTATATCTAATGAGAAATTATTAAAATATTCATCATTATTCATTAATTTAAGTAAATCATATATACGATATGTTGCTTCTTCATTATCATAAATATATACTATTTCTCGTATATAATGATATTTTAAATAACTTATTAATACACGAAGTATATCAGGCATAGCTGTATATGAACGAGTTAATGATCTAAAGAAGAAAAACAAGATGAAAATATTTTTTTGAATTATAAATTGAAAGTACAAACGTTGTTGTTATTATTCCTTGTGAATTCATACTAACACATGGTATTCGATATGTTTGACAGAAACCCTGAATTAATTTTGTTGAAAATTGATCTTTATGTGCGACATAAATATGTGTATGGTTTGCTCGTTCTTCCAGTTCATTAAGAAGATCTAATAATGAGTTTAATGAATTAATCCAACGAATTTGTAATATTAAACCATGATGATTACAGAAAGTTATATTTGGTATAGCGATATTAAGTATTCCTTTGGGAGAATCATTGTCATCAATAATTCCAATAGAAATAGTTGATTGAGAATATGTGAAAAAGATTATTGTAAAAAAATGAAGAAGAACATAGTAGAGTAACATTTTTGTTCTACTAAATGATCAAAAATAAAATATGAACAAATGAATGAGCTTTTTCTTTTTCATCTTCTGTCTTCTTCTTCTTCTTCTTCTCCCTCTTCTTCTTTTCTTAGATCGATAGGAATAAATTAGATTAGACTTTTTATTCATCTGTTAGCACTTGCATTGCATGCCGACCCAAACTGAGCATAGAGAGAGAGAAAAAAATATAGTAAAGAACGAAAAGGATTAATAAATATATAGATGGATGGAATGAAGAAATATAATTAGTTTAGTCATGATGAAAAAAAAAATAACTAGTCTAGATTATCATATAGTTTCTCTTTCTTTTCTAAATACTAAGTATTTATTTCTTTAGAGAATTTTTTTTTTACTTATGAAAAATTAAAATACATCAATATGATGATAATAAAAACTATTCTCAAGAGAGAGAGAGAAGAACTTCGTCTATGATGATGATGATGATGACATAAAAAACATCAATGCTCTCCGGAAGCAACATACTTCGTATGAGAACTTCCGTTGAATAAGACTAGATAAAATCATCAATAGTTGATAGCACATTGCACAAATAGAATTATTAAAGATATGAAATAAACATTAAAAGATCTATTGTTCGCACTTGAATGATTCTTATTAATTTGTTCGAAGATTCTTGCAATTGATTTGAAAGTAAAAGTATTTTGCTGAAATCAATACATTCTAAATTTTCAAAAGAATAATCGTTGGATATAAATCAAATAGATCAACATAGAATCAGTGAATACTTTCTAAACTTTCAGATATATATATATATATATTCCATTTGTTAAATCACGGCTTATTGAAAATTGATTATACTATAAATAATTTATTCGGTAAAACGGTTTGTCACCAGTTTTGTAATATATTACAGTTTTAAAAAATCCCTAAAGAGTATAACAAGCTTTAACACTCAATATTCAGAACGTTTAGTAGTACTATCATAATTCAATAGTCTTATAGATGATTATATACATCTAAAATCAGTAACTGAACAATTTTAGAATTTCTGCGATATTATGAATACGAAATAAAACAAATTTATGTTCTTCTTTCGCTTACTAATGTCAGAATAAAGAAGATTAAATACCAGATCTCATCTAATATTGTCCTAGTACTTGATAAGGATAATCTGTCTGATGATTTCTTCAGAAATCGCTTCAACAGTGTTGAATCCCATCGTAAGGCACTGATTAGTACTTAGCTAATTAAATACGAATCGATTATTACATCTATTAACTATTTTAAATTCGAATAGATGTCGTATTGCATTCATTTGCCTTAGGTACAAAATTAATATTGAAAATAAGTGCTATTATCTTATGATGAATTTAGTCATTAATGGTATTATATGACGTCTTGTGAACGTTATAGTTAGATTATTTAATATGACTGTCTATATGAATTAAAGCTTGAAAAAAGATACATATTCTTAATGTGATTTTAATAGATTAGATTATGCATTTTCTTTACATTTTTATACAGTACACACATTCGCTTAGTTACTGTCGACTTGAGGACAATAAGTGATAGATAGTTAATAGAAATAATATACAGTTTTTTCATTATAATAGTTAATTTCTTAATCATATTGTTAACGAAGTTTTTGAGTTGATATTAAATATATATTGTTACTTTATTTAATCGTAATACACATGTTAATATTCATGAAAGAAATGATTATGAATTTATGACCTTCACGAGTTGGATATGTGATTAGTTGTGAAAGGTTCTGGGTATTCTTTGATTCATACAGTATATGTCACTATGATTTAATCAATTGTATGATTCTGATCAAAACGGTTCCTTTTTTCGCTTCAAATTTCAACGAACTGTTACTTATTGATATAATTCATATAAATTACTTTCTTTTTTTTCTGTTTATCAAGGAGAGATTTGATTGAAGAAATTTATTTCATATTCAACTATCATATTGCTTTTTATTTGCTTTGATATCTGAGCATTTGGTATGTTTGTCAATATTTGTAACAATACGTCTCACTTATATAGAAGTGTGAGAGTAATCCTCAATTTATATTTACATATAATCTTTTTCTCTTGCTTTCTTTTGCACATATAGACATTGATTATTATATGCAATAATTTGATTGATTAATTCTCGAATGTAAGCCGTTCAGATTTGCAACTATCGCGTTGGTGAACTTTAAGACACTGCATGTTACAAATCAATTAGAAGAGAAATAATATTTCTGTATTAATACATATATATATATATATATAAGTAATAAACAAGAACTGTCGAAAAAGATATATTATGAATAAGCTATGTGTCGTTTTCTTTCTCTTTTTCCTGCATGTTCTCTGTCTATCAGCGTAAAGATTCTGCCTTTTTCTTCAGTCATTTGTTTTCTTTACATACGCAATCCGTAGGAGTTGGTATTGGTACGTGAAAGAAAGAACAAAAAAATGGCATTCAATAAAGCATCCAGTTAGGTTCCTATTCAACCAATATGCCTTCCGTTTACTTCTTTTTCTATCATCACCCTATTCATCAACATCATCAATAACGTTCGTAGAAAATAGTTATAATATATCATAAAATCAAAAAACATTCCAGTTTAAATATTGTATATATCATTATATTTTAGATGACTACGCCAAAAGATGGTCGTGAAACGAATGTTCCAACTCTATCGCAAGGAGTTAATCGTCAACCAACCATGGGTTTACTTGATGCTATTAATCTTCTTTTAGCTTGTATTATTGGTTCAGGTATATTTATAAGTGCTAAAGCTGTACTTGAATATTCTGGTTCATATGGCCTGTCGATTATTGTTTGGATTGGTTGTGGTTTACTTTGTATTATGGTGATAAAATGTGATACACAAAAAAATACAAAATAAAAATATTTTATTTAGGGAGCATTATGCTATGCTGAACTTGGTTGTTCATATGTATCATCGGGTGGTGATTATACATATCTTCGAGTAGCATTTGGTAATTTTCTAGGTTTTCTTCGTGTTTGGATTGAAGTTGTTTTATCACGTCCAATGATCGTTGTATTAAGTGTTTTGACAGCATCAAATTATCTAGTTTATTGGTTTTATTCAACATGTACACCACCTGATATATTGGTTAAATGTTTATCATCACTTCTTCTATTATTTGTTGGATTTATTAATTTAACATCAGCTGCATGGACCAATCGACTTCATCAAATATGCAATTATTTTAAAATTGGTAAGACAAAAAAACAATTTATTTGTATATGATAAATTTCCTTTGAATTTTTATAGGTTCATTATTGCTTGTGATCGGTGCTGGTATTTATAATATGATTCGTGGTAAAACAGAAAATTTTGCTGAACCATTTGAAAGTTCAACATATGGAAAACTTCCCAGTGCACTTTATGCTGGTTTATTTCCTTATGCTGGATGGTATAGATATTTATTAGATGTAATTAATTTTTTCTCTATATTTTTTGTTCTTCATTAAAGGAATTATTTAAATAATGCTATTGATGATCTTAAAGATCCGAAACGAATACTACCACGTTCAATTGTTATATCACTTTCATTATGTATTATTATATATTTTTTAACATTCAGTTCATATTTTACAGCTTTATCGGCATTCGATATTTTAATATCAGAAGCAACAGCAGTTACTTTTGCTGAAAGAGTATTTCGACCACTTTTATATATTATACCAATTGGTGTAACAATGTCTTGTGTTGGAGGTAAATATCTTTGAATTTTTTAATTATGAATTATTCAAAAATTCATTTATAGCTGCCTCTGGAAATATTTTTACTGTTGTACAAATGTTTAACGGTAAAATTCATATTTCTATAAAAAAAATGAAATAATTAGATTTCTCTAGTTGCGGGTCGTGATGGTCTAATGCCATTTATATTTTCAATGAGACATTATAAATCAAATGTACCAATGATTGCTATTATGTTCGAGATTATTATCAGTTTTATTTTTCTTTTCTTTATGTCAAATATCGGACAATTGATTATTTGTGTTGGTATGATCAATTGGATATGTAAATATAGTTTTTATTAAATTAATATGATTTGTATCTATTTATGTATATATAAATAGGTATTTTATTGGCTGCTGTTGGTTTAATAGTTCTTCGTATTAAACATCCTGATAGAGAAAGACCCTTTAAAATTCCATTAATAATACCAATCGTATTCATTGCAGTTTTAGTAACACTTATAGTTGCAAGTGCTATAACTGATCTTGACAATATTAAAACATCCTTAACACTTCTTGCAACAGCTATACCTGCTTATGTATTTGGTGTAATGTGGAAAAAGAAACCTAGTAGTTTCAATCGTAAATATAATTCATTTGCAATTACTTTACAAAAAATTTTTCATGTTGTCCATGAAAAACGTACTGATTAGAATACCAATCTTTTTTTTTTGTTTCTTTCTACGTGTTCATTTCTTTTAGTAGACTTGTTTTGAAGTGTTCTTTTTTTTTGTTTTAATGTAAAGAATTAAAACGATTTTATTTTGAAAGTAATATTAAGATTTATATTAAATACAGTATTTTTCCTTTTGATCATTTTTTATTGTATAAAACTGATAAATTCTCATGAATTGAATATACTGACATCTAGATTATAAATATTTTGTGTATGTAAAGGATTACCAAGGAGAATTATTTTTAAATGATCGACTATCAGCTGTTGATTATTATCGAGTATAAGAATTTTTCGTTGGATTTTAAATTCTATGCTCGAATAAATATACTTAAAATGATACTTTTTTTTACTTGTTCTTTCGAAGGTGACATTATTTGTTTTGTATAAATTTTTGTTCTCTAATGCATTTATTGTGCACACGTTATTGTTGTTGTTGGATCTTAATACAGAATTTCTTGGTTATTAATGGCAGCAACTATGTATGGTTATGACACGATGCGAAGTGGTGATGTTGTTTTATTCTATGTAAATCGTGATGGCCTACCATTATCAGATCGATGTAATGAACGAATGTGGAACTTTTGTATAGAACAAAATCCCAAACGTGAGTCATACATACTTATCTACAATGAGTACTTCCTATTTTCTACAAGCAATTCAATGGAAAAAAAAATAATTAGAGTAAGCCATCAGCGTATCTTTAACACAGTAATTGTCAATATCAATCGAATGCATTATAACGTAATTAGCATTAGAAAAAGAATGTTTTCATAGCATTCTTGAAGAAATTTCAAGGTCATAGCTTTGCAAGGGTAACTGATTTCTTTGAACAACAGGTCAACGTACCTTTAATAATATTCTCAGACTGAAGATTCAATTCGAGTTAAAAGCTCGCTTAATTATCCTTATAAACTTTAATAAAAATATTTTTATTTCATAAATCTTAGATGCATCTGAAATTCAAACAATACGTGACAGAACTATTAATTATGCACCGAAAACATATCCTGATCCACCTTATCATATAGCAACTAATCCTCGATTAAAAGTTCATGAGAAATTACAACTAATACAAAACTATATTCAACGCTTAGAATATAATTATACTGGCATGCAATTTTTTGATATAAATCCAGCTCGATCTATATATGGATTGATGGACATTGCGAAACAAATGTGAGATATTTTAATAAAACAAAAAAAAATGATTTATTTTATATGAAAATTTAGGATGACAGAATCATTACCGATAAAATGTTTCGAATCATTTTTAATTGCAGTTTATTTAACAACTGGTATTATTGGTCTTGATCGTTTTAATATATCATTTAAAACAAGTTTTAATTCAATTATTTACCGTCATGTTGTTCTTGGTGTTAAATATCAACAATACTATGGTGCATTAGGTTTAAGTCGTCGTGATGATCTTTCATATAAATCATTAGATGGAAAATATGAACGTCTTTCAACACTTATCGATGATTTTGTATGTGCTTATAAACGATATGGTCATACTGTGCTACGTATTCGAATTGGTTTACCTATAATTCATGATTTGAAATCATTTTTAAATATTAATTGGAATGTACTGAAAATTCTACCGAATAAAACTGATAAAATTGATTATGATCGTGAATTAGATAAAATAGTTAGATTATGGAGACAAACAGATATGAATTTGACTTATCGATCAGTTGCATCATTAACATCATTAATTACAGCAGCAACATTACCAAATCGTGGACAATCAATACAATTTCGACTAAATCGTGAAACATCATTAACTTGTCGTCGATCAGCAATTAAGAAAACGTCGACAGCTACAGATGGTGATCATTCGATTGAAAAAGATGAATCTGTTCCTTTTGCTATTCGTGTTTAATTATATATGTATATTTTCTTATAATAAATAAATATGAACTATATTATCTTAATTCCTCTTATTGAGTAATTCAGTGAAAACTGTAATGACTTCTTATATATCAGATACATGACAACAAAACATATAATGGCACATAAAGGGCGAAAGAGGTGTGAGAAGGAAGTATTAATGGAAACAAAACAAACATGAGAGAGGGAAAGGGTGTACCAAGGTCAATGGATATGACAAAAAACTTATGTTAATAGACAAGATGAAGTTTGTATGAAGACTTCAATATATTTCGAACTCATCTATTCAATATCGGATTAAGAATGAATTTTTTAGATTATTAAATACAGTTATGTGTGTGTATAAAGTAAATAACTATGAAAAGGAAACTGAGAATTTGGTTGCACGTAATTTTGCCTATATTCGATCTCTGTAGAAGAGACATTTTTTTCTCTTAGTTAGTGTAAAGTTTTCACTCAATATTTTAAATAAGAATTTTGTTGATTTTATATATGTGCGCATCGATGAAAAGCTTGTAATATGAAAACATAATATTAGATAACTTTTAATATTACAAATAAAAGCAGTTTTTATGTATAGTTAGTGAGAAGGGTTCATTTTCATTAATATGAATTGTTGACACTTCTGACAGGAAATCTATTGAAGAATAGAACATTGCTTAGAACTATTATGAAGACGCTCATGAACTTCCGGCAGAGAATATATATTACTTGAGGAAATTCGATGTTTAAATTCTTCCTCTTCAGTTTCCTAAAATTATCTTGTCGTTAAATAAACCGCGATATTTATATAGAACAATCTTTCAGATGGACCACGAGGTTGTCTTTTGGATTTTTGCGATATATTACTCGAAAAAGAACAGATCTTTTTTATAAAAATAAAAAGTCTATTTTACTTTTTCGAATATGCATTCCAAAGTTCTCAGTCCGGACTAATTCAATATATTTTTATTTTGTTTGTTTGAAAGAGCGTGTCAAGACGTAGTGCATGATTGAACTCTTTATTTAAATTAAGGTTTTCTTTTTATTACATTTGTATATACTAATTGAACATCTATTTTCTTTATTTTTTTAAGTCATTCAAGTTATCACTCTTTTCCTCCACTAGAGCAGAAAGTATTTTAAAAAATAAGCTCCGTCATGTATCACATCTTGACAGGCTCTTTCAAACATAACAAAAAATTTTATATACTGCACGAGCCTCATTCAAAAAATTTTGAACTATCAAGTGAGCTTTTTTTAACTCTTATTTAGCTCATATTTCTCTGAAATATCCTTGGATTGAGCGCAAAATTTTATGACAACTTCTTCGTTAGTCATAAGAACTCAAATAATATGTTATTCAATTATTATTGATCTACTGAAATATCTTAACATATTATTCTCAATGAAATTTAATTGATATACATCAAAATACAATACTTTTAGTTAAATAGGCACATACTTCATTCGTCATACTTTTTCGAAGTGATTAATAATAAAGACAAATTTAGTATCTGAATAAGTCTTGACTAATTAAAATATTTATTTTCTTATAAAGAAAAATAAAAGCAACAACAGCAAAGAAAATAATAATAGATGATATACTAAAAGATGCTTGAAGCATCCACACCTATCGAATATTTCGTTGATTATATTAAAAATTCAAATATTACTACATTAAATTTACTTCTACATTCAAATTACTTAAAAATATCAGGATAATAATATTATTCATGTATTTTGCTCATCTGTTGATATCATAGTCATTCCTTCTATATTAGCAAAAGAATAAAAAATAAGAAACAAATATACAAAACAATTCAATTAACATACTTTGTCGTTGTCGATAATGTCGCACCACTAATAAAATAATAATAAAAAGAATTACAATAATTAAAACTATCAATCCAATATAAGCGCTAATATGAAGAAAACTACTAAATAAATAAAATATAAAGAGAAATAAAAATTTTTTAAAAGAACAAACTTTTTTTTCTTGGGTATACAACAATAATGTTTTCCATAAACACCACAACAATTCGTTGCTTCATATGGAAATCCATTAACTGGACAACGAAATGATCCAAACCAATGACCAGGCATACGTTGAGTATTCATACAAGTTTCTCCACCTATAATTAAACTATTATTCTTAAATAAAATATTACGAATCAATAGATTTACCTCCATAACCTGGACCATAAATACCATTTGGTTGAGAATGAAATGATGCAGACAACGCACTCATTATTGCATATCCTTCAGCTTCAGCAGCAATACTCTCTGCGCTTGGTTTTTCAGTAGTAGTTCTAGATTGTCATTAAATATAGACAAAAAAGAAATACTTGAATATTACAAAAAAACAAGATGATGAAATTTCATACGGTTCGTCCTCAGCATAATATTTATATGCCGTACCATAACCTGTCGGTCTTGCAAATGATCCAGTTCGTCTTACAGCACCTTTACCTTTGACTTCAATTAGTGATAACATCATTAATACTAAAGTTATTTACACATGTTTAGAAATTACAAAATAAAATTTCAAACTTACATAGAAAATAAAAACATTTATATAAATGTTTATTTTTCATTTTATTATTAATTAATGGTAAAATATAAATCTGAAATATACAACAAAACATTTATCACAATAAATATTTTGTTGTACAGATATAGAATTATAAAGAAATCATTAATTTAATATATCGCAACAGCCTAACTCAAAAAATTGTGAGCTGTTTTTAACTCTTGTTTACCTCATATCTCTTTGAATCGAGTACAAAATTTTATGACAGCTTCTTCGTTACAAGCTCAATGTGCCCGAAAATCTGATGCCTCTTGAACGTACCTGATTTGACAAATGAGACGTCTTAAGCACTTAAATAATATATAATTCAGTTATTGTTAATCTACTGAAGTGCAGTTTAAATATCTCAAGACATTCTTCCTAATAAAGTCTAATAGTAGCTAAATAAGTGCATACTACATTCGCTATACTTTTCCGAAATGATCAATAATAGAAATGAATCTAGTATTTGAATAACTCTTGAATAATTAAAATATTTATTTTTTTTGTAAAGAAAAATAAAAACAACAGCAATAAAGAAGATAAGCATATATGATATACATAAAGCATGTTTAAAATATGAATAATTATACAGACAAAAAGAAAAGAAGTGAAAACAAAAATATTTTAGATAATTTTAATATTCTCTTTAAATTACAATTTGAGAACATATTTATATAATCATTCTCTTTTGTTAATTAAGTATAGCATCATTCTAATTTCATTCAAAATCTATAAATTAGAAAAAAATGTTTATGATTATATATATATCGATGATTTCTATCAAGCTTATATTCATCATAATCTATGAAATAATGCGAAATTTCTTCTCATATAAATAATACGTTGAAATACAGTGGAACCTCTATTAATGAACATCTCCGGTGTGAACAGATTTTTTAGTCCCTCCCGATCGATTTTAGCTGTAAATAGACCTCTGACCTCTGAACAATGAACGCTTTTTTTGGGCCTTTCTGTAGAAAAAACCTCTATAGAGTGAACACATAGTGATTAACCCTTTCCGCACAGGATTTTTCAAAGAAACTAATGAAACAAGGATATGCGTAGTTAAAGTCAATTGATTTTTCTTTTGTTAAACTTTAGTTACCTTCTGACATGATTGCGAAGCATATGTACAGCATCTATACCGAAGACTAAAGTAGTATCAGTCACAAACAACAGATAGATAATATGCATTTGTAGAACTGAAATCTTTTGAGGGCGGGTGATACACCATATATACCACCCGTCCCGAAAGGGTTAACTGTACGTTCTTCTATGAAATACAGAGCTGAAAAAATATGCCCTACATATTAAGGAAACGATAAATCAGTTTTTGACGGTCAACTCATCATAACAAGCTCTGTCGTATGTATGGATCGAATAGAACAATGTGATTAATGGGCAATAAGTTAATCGATTCTATATGACAGGGTAACATGCATTCTATTTTCGATTGTAGAATGAAACAGAACACACACGTTAACTTTGTCAAAAAAAAGGCAATTAATTCATGAAAATGAAAATAACGCTTCATATCGTACAATTGCTGCGAAGTACAAAATCTCGGTCGGTAGTATCTCGATTAACGACTTTTCTTAGAAAAAATAAATAAATATAAATAATAGACAAAAATGCTTTTTTTTTACTAGTTTTTGTTTAAAACGAAATAGATCTTTAATATTTTAAGGATAAAAAAA